ACTCGCGTCAAAGCGCTGACATCGCTCGCAACCCTCTGGATTTGGTCTTGAAGGCAGATGCGGTCGGACGACAGCGGAAGCCGTCGAAACCTAATGGCTGGTGGCCACATCCCGACGACTCAATGTCAGCCGTTTCCTTCACACGATGCTTTCACATCGGGAGCCCAAGCGCGGCGCAATGCGCTAATGCATGTTCACTGGGCTTGATGGCACGGCCAAGTGAGTAGTTGGACAGTTGTAAGTCGCAGGTGGATTTGAGAGATTGTATGCTCTGGTGGCGGAGCGCGATCTCCGCTTGCCTGACGCCGGTGCTGGTTTCTAGACGATTCGAAGTCAGATCAGGAACGGGCAAGGTGCCAAGCTGAACCGCAAGGCACGGATACACTCACGACTGTGGTGCGTGTCGACTGTTGTTTAGCGACCCTCTCTGCGCGCGCCTTCTACAGTACAGCACCACAGCAGCACATGTGAGCTTGAGAGCGCCCCGATTGAAATGCATAAGCTGCTCGCTAGCGTGATCGTAAGACGCCGGGGCGGGCGCGCACGGTCTCGCCATCACCGCGCCGAGGCGTGTGGTTTTACTTCTCTTCTACAGCCGGCGACGAAGTCGTGGCTCACGACGGAGGGGCTGCCTGATGCACATATATCATGCATGCGCAGAAGGCCCAGATAACTTGGTCGTTTGAAGGCCGTGTCGCAACGCGGCAACGCGCATGATGCCGTCTTGGTTTGACGTCGACTCGTCTTTCTTGAGGGAAGAGTGCTCGATCGCTTTTCAACAGTCACAATTACGGTCGTGACTGGGCAAGTCGTGCTCCTAGTTGAGCTACATTGGGGGCCGCTGGACGCTCGTCAGCATCGTGACATGGTCTCATCCATGAAAGTCCAGACTATGAGGCGTGAAGCTCAGCTCGTGCCAGACGAGGAGGTCGTCATTCTGCTGAATTGCCTAGCCTCGTGCCTAGACTGCTCGATCGAAAGCTAGGTGTGGTCCGCGAGCCGTGAGTGTAGCCCGCAAGATAAGGAATCACGAATCCAAGGCACCGGAGATTGGAGCGGCAGTGCGCGAGTGTCGGCAGGTAGACAGCTCTCAAGATTGGTCGTGGACTAATCAGCACTCAGAGCACTCAGCTTGACGCTGCGATAGTGCTATGGGACGAGACGACGAACGCCCATGCACTTGCAGGAGTGGACCTACAGTACTTCGTTGCTGCATTCGAGCGTTTGCCACACAAGGATGCTGGCACAGCCCCACGCCCAAATTGGTGCGCCTTCCCAGCTGACTGATGCGAATGTGGTCCCCGAGGGCACCACTACCCTTTTTTTAGCAACATTGCCCGACATATGATTGTACAAGTGTGCTTGGCTAATCGGCAAGCCAGGTGAGACAGAGCAGCGTTGCACGCAAAGTCGGCCTTGCCCAACGAAGATTGGAAGGGCCGCACATTACCAAAGTAACTGGCTGGACCCTTGCTTGCACCCTCCGGGCTCATTTGAGTGCGGGGCAGCAGGACGCAGGGGTTGCTGGGCTTGCATCTGAGATGGTGCGTGTGGTCAGATGAGACGGCAAGAATGGTGGTCTCCTAGCTTTGATCACGACTGACGGCATGCTGGAGGGGCAGAGTACAGCAGGTCTTGAGTCAGGCACCTGCCTAGTCACCCCGCTCGGCAAAAAGGTGCAGCACTAGCGGCTCGAAATCGAAGCTGCGTTTGTGGGGCAGCGTCAGGCAGAGGACTCGATGCGAATTTATCCGTAATCCGAGGCGGTTGCGACAAAGTCGTTTCCGCGGTCTTGGCTGTGACGCCGCTTGAGCGAGCTCAAGCGAGCCTGCTGCCAAGAAGAACGCTTCTTTCTCGCGCTGCGCTGTTCTCTGCTGCGCGTAGCACACATGTAGAACACGACGTGCGACTTCCTGCCTGCATTCGAAGGGGCATCCCGCTCACTACAACATGCGTCGGCAGACCGATTACGTGTGCTCATCGCCGTTTGTTGCCAGAGAGAGAGAGAGAGAGAGAGAGAGAGA